CGATCAAATGATGAAGTAAATGATTTTCATAAGTTTTACAAACTGCTTATTAAACCAATTTTGCCGCTACTTATTATCGTAAAATTTTGAGAAATTGCAAGATAGGCCGTTCGTATAGGATGTATAAGGGACGGTTCTACATCTGCAATATCCTTAGTAGACTTGCAAGCAGCATTAATTAAGACTCACGATCAGGATTTCCATGCTCTTCGGCAAAACAATTGCTCAATAGCTTCGTGAATATTGCCTCACTTTTGCTAGAGGAGTTTCTGTAAAATATATTTTATCGAAGAGTTGCTGTACAATGCAATCGTAGTTTTGTGCCTTTTTACCTAGGGAGACTCTTGGACTTTTAATATATTGATGATTCTTTGGAAACGGTCGTGACTTTTGAATGGCAAACGGTTATTGTTTTAAATCAATTTTTTGGTCTCTTTAATATATATAAGTAATAAGTAATAATTGAAGGGAAGAGAAGAATGAGGAAAAATCCAAAAAAAGAGAAAAAAAGAGAAATGTGTTTATTGGCCAAAGAGAGGTGCCAAGTTATCACTCTTTGTCCCTGTGTTACTGTGTGAAAATAAATTCCCCATGATACACTCTTCCAATAACTTTCATAGTCATTTCCAGTGAATTGCTTTATGTAGTGAGTGTTCATATGAAGGTAAGATATTGCAGAGTTGTTACATTTTCCTTTACATTTTTCTGATAGGTAAGTTGTCGTTATCATTGCATCCTCATATGTTGTGGCAACATTGTTACATTGTCCTTTACTAATTTTCTGATTGGTAAATGGTCCTTATCGTTGCATCCTCAGTTATTGTATATTAAAACAAGAAAAATGCCATGCACCGGTCCCCGTAAGTTACTGGTCTACAGTTCAAGTGGAAGGCTTAGAGTAAAAGGACGTACAAATACTTTGTGGCCTTTCCAAAAGCCTAAAAGCTTCGAAGTTCAGTGAGGATGTTCTTGGGTTGAAGGAGGACTGGTTCTCCCCATCTCAGAGAACACAGAATCAAACTACCAATTGCAGTTGCCTCCAGACAAATGGATCTTTCTGATTTACTTCCGAAGGAAAGAGCTGAACTTCAATGTGGGAAGGTGTCATTTATGACAAGATTACTACTCCCTCCTTTTCAATTTGGATGACACACTTTCCTTATTAGTCCGTTCCAAAAAGAATGACACATTTCTATAGTTAGAAACAGTTTAACTTTAAACTTTTCATTATACCCACTTTACCCCCGATGAGAAGCTTTTATAGCCACACAAATATCATGACCCCACTAAGCTTTTGCCCCTTAAGCTTAAAGCACAACATGTTTCAAAAATCTTCTTTTATTTCTTAAACTTTGTGCCAAGTCAAACTACCTCATCTAAATTGAAACGGAGGGAGTAGTCTGTTTTATGCAAGAACAAATAAGTCCTCAGAAAATGATATGGTTAGAGGTGGAGTCATGGATATAAGTTGTTTGGATTTGATTCTGTTTAGTAATATTGTGCTAATTGACGAAACTAGCGAGGGTGTCAACCGAAAGCTTGACCTATGGAGAAACACCTTAGTGTGCAAGGCTTTTAAGATAAGTAGAAGTACTAAGTACATGGACTGCAAGTTTCGTCAGCATGAGAAGAGCGAAGATGCGGTGAGACTAGATGGAATTGCGGTGCCAAAATGCAAATAATTTAGATATCTAGGCTCGTTGTTTCAAGAGAATGGAATGATAGATGAAGATGTTGCTCATATGATTAAACCAGATGATTGAAATAGAGAAGTGCAACCAGGGTGTTATGGTAAAGACTGACTATGTAAAATGGTAGTGAATGTTGGGCTGCTAAAGACATATCCACAAGATGAGTTGTAGAAATGCGAATGCTAAGATGGATGTGTGGTCACACAATATTAGATAAGATTAAAAATGACCACATTCGCCAGAAGGTGCAAGAAGAACACATTGAGGATAAATGAGAGAAGGTTGCTTGAGATGGTTTGTTTATGTTCCGCATCGACCTACAGATGCATCGGTCTTTAGGTGTGAAACTATAGTGGGGGAAGGTGTTAAAAGGGGACGGGTAGACCTAAAATCACATGTAAGGAAGTTGTCTCGAAAGACCTACAAATCCTTGGAATTAAAATAGACTTAGTTAAAGATAGAGCACAATAGAAGGAAAAAAAAATCTATATAGGTGATACCTATTAGTTGGGAATAAGTTTAGACTTGGTATAGAACTTCTATTATTATTATTATTATTACAAATTTATCTTTTTACTTATCAAAAAAGATTTACAAATTTATCTTTTTTAGTGCACTTTTATTTTATTTTGGTAATGCTGATGGTATGAGTTGAGCTAAATGAAAGAAATGAGGAATCATATCAGTGGCCCCAACTTGTTTGGGATTAAGGCGTAGTAGTAGTAGTTGTTGTAAAATCATGTCGAAGGTAACAAATTTATTGGGCATCCAAGAGATGAAGCTTAGTGTTGGTATGTTATATTTATGGCAAGTTTACGATGAAGCTTAGTGTTGGTATGTTATATTTATGGCAAGTTTATCTGGTTAGAATCCTAATTTCTTGTGCCAACACATTGACAGAATGCTATCCAATAGAGAATCAGCTAGACGCTCCAGAAGAAGAAAGCAGGCCCATCTGACAGAATTAGAGACACAGGTATGTTTCTAGGTCATGCTTTCAGTTAAGATTTACTTTAAGACTATTCATTTAATGAAAATTTGTTCATGGCAGGTTTCTCAAGTAAGAGTAGAAAACTCCTCTTTATTGAAACGCTTTACTGACATAAGCCAGAAATACAATGAAGCAGCAGTTGATAATAGAGTATTGAAAGCAGATGTTGAGACATTGAGAGCAAAGGTAAGGCTACTTTCAGTGTTTGGAGAAGAAAACAGGTTTAACAATATTCGTTTCATTTGTGTTGGAGAAAAGTAAGGTAAATATAGTTGAAAAGGATATTCATCTCAAAAAAAATATAGTTGAAAAGGATATTTTCATTGCGTTGTCATTTTTATCAATTGATCAGAAAGTTAAACTGAGTTTAAAATTCCTGTTACACTTTTGCTATCTCCTCTTTGTTCGTCATTCCATGCTTCTAGACGTTGAAATGCCTAATGTGCTTCTTAATCAAAATCTACCTAGCTTTATTTAAATTACACTTGACTCAAGCTTACCTCGTATTACTGCCACCTACTTTAGGATACCTAGCTGCTATAGACTAGTGGTGAAGAAGAACCATCCCTCCGTTAATTTCTCTTTTGCTTCTACTAAATAAGAGAACCTGTAGTAGAGAGATCTCGCGCATTGGGATTTTATTTGGGGAGAAAGAAGTTGAGTTATGTTATCATCCTTCTGTTCCATTATCTTTTCATTGTTGGTGTCTTTTTCTATTTGAAACCTGTAAACCAGTCCTTCATATACTGATGTGCAGGTGAAGATGGCTGAAGAAACTGTTAAAAGAGTTACTGGGTTAAACCCGCTATTCCAAGCTATGTCTGAGATATCCACAATGATGATGCCATCTTTCACTGGCAGTCCTTTTGACTCATCAGCAGACGCTGCTGTTCCTGAACAAGATGACCCCAGACATCACTACTATCAAGCACCGGAAAATAGTCATATGCCCAACCATACTCCTAGAATGCAAAATGGTATGATAGATATTCCTTCCATGGAAAATGCACATCAGAGTTCTGCAGCAGAAGCAATCGGGGGCAATAAGATTGGCAGAACTTCTTCAATGCAGCGGGTGGCTAGCTTGGAGCATCTGCAGAAGCGCATGCGTGGAGAAGCGAGTACTTGTGGAACCCAATGCAGGAAAGAGCAGTAGCGACTTAGTAAGCAGAGGAGTTAACAACTGCTAGAGATTTCACATAAAAATATTGTAAAAGATTACATATAATCACTTTGAAAAAATATATATCGTTCTTAGCATAACGAGTCTATCGGAGGCAGAAAACATGACTATTCTGTGTACCAATGCCTTTTTGATAGTGGGTTTATGCAAAATTTATCTTATCGTGATGACACCTAATCCCAACATGCTTGGTAAGCCAAACATAGAGTAATGCAACACAAGTGACAAATCAATAATAGCAAGGAGTGGAATAGCTGAAATCTATATAACATCCGAAGGATTGATAGTACAAGTCATGAGTCACTAAGATTTAGATTTTACAAAGCTAGTTCGAACATAAATACATGTGTTTGGAATATACATGAACAGAATATGAATCCAAAGCTACCGAGGACAAGTGGTAGCTATATTCGGAAAACAGGTACATCTTTAATGATAATCTCCATCACCCACTGTAGCTCAGCTCCACGATCTGCATGCAAGGTGCAGAAGTGTAGTAAGTATAACCGACTCCATGCACTCAGTAAGTATCCTGATTAACCTCGATGAAACAATGATGAGGTCTCGGTCAAGGATACTCACTGTATATATTTAACCTACACAGTCAATAACATATTCGTGTACACAACAACAGTAGCAAGGTCTAAATAAGAAAATATACGTACCACCAACGATGCACATAGAGAGATGTGCGCAAGTCTCTTAACAGTTCAACATGTAAAGAAGGTATGCTTCTGATATCAAATAACAAATCAACAATTGCATATAGAGAAGATATACCTAGATACTATTCTAGTTCAACAACTCAGCAAATATAGAAGATATGCGTCCAACATCATTAAATCATCAAGCTTGCATATAGAGAAGATATGCGTAAAGTATCAAATAATCATTCCATAGTTGCATATAGAGAGAATATGCATGAAATACCAGATAATCCTTCAGCAGTTGCATATAGAGAAGATATGCATTATTACTCAATTAATCCTTCAACAATTGCATATATAGAAGATATGCACGATTAAACCAGTCAAGTCACACGTGTTCACATATAGAGAAGACATTGTACCATGTCTCATCTAATTAATTAAGGTAACATATAGAGAAGATATGCATAAAGGCATGTATACATTCCAGAATTAGCATATAGAGAAGATATGTAGTAAAATCATGTATACATCCAACGAGTTTGCAAATAGAGAAGAGATGCAATGTCCAACCAAGAATCACTTTTCCATAACCACGACAACCAGAAAATTGTCAGTTTCTCACAACCTGCCTGTACACCATCAAGAGAGAAACATGAGAGGGTGACCCAGGGGGATGGATCCTTATCCATACACTGCACGGACACCTCACGTGCTAATAATAACAACCGCACGGATAACTTACGTGCCATAATAACTCATCCCGCACGGACCACTCACGTGCTGCCAATCCAGTCCATCACACAGAAGATATATACAAGAATACATGTATACGAATAATGATATCAAATCACATACTCATGGATTGAAGACGATAGCATGCTAGATGTATGCATGTGCGAGTGTACAACTACAGCTCAAATTAGGCGGATACGCCATACAACAACAAATATCATACTCAACTGGAAAATCAACACCTACACAGGGTCTTGTGCATGATTCACGGAGTTCACGTAGTCGTACAAACATATAAAATATGTGTCACGACCCAAAATCTCACTAGCCGTGATGGCACCTAACCCAACCCGTTAGGTAAGCCAATTTCCAACAATCCAATTCCAATGAAATTAATTAAAAGAAAATATCTAAAACCAATACATCTCCCCAAGAACTGGTAGTACAAATCATGAGCTTCTAAGAATAGAGTATACAAAGCGAAAATAAAATAAATACATAGTCTGTTTGAATAATACATAAACAGAGCTTTTATAAATCTAAGACTATCCTGAACAAGAAGCAGTTACAATAGGAACGCAGGTACATCTTCAGATCCCGCAACCACCGAGCACAGCAACAACGACAACCAATATCTGCACGCAATGTGCAGAAGTGTAGTATCAGTACAACCGACCCCATGTACTGAGTAAGTAACAAACCTAGCCATAGGTTGAAAGTAGTGACGAGCTTCTACCAAGGTCGGATCCAAAACCACTAGTCCACAACAGTCCATAACAACATAAAGCAAATAATACCAGAAGAAACACAAAAATAAAATGCTCAGCCAAATCATGATTTCAAAAATAATAGTTCTTCCTTTCAAATACATCAGTGAAAACCCAAATCATTGGCCGAAGTTGCCAAAAATATGAATAATTTGAGAACAGTAATTTTTCCAAAAATAATTTCAATAATAAACAATATATTTCCTTTTCCTTCCGGATAACCCGTGTAAAACAAATGCATCACTATGCCCATCTGTCAACATGCGTGAGAAATCAGGAATAATGTGATACCGTACAACATGAGGAAAAATACATCTCTATGCATATATGTCATATGTGCATGTCAATGCAATGTATCTTAGAGATTGTACTCATGTACTTACACTCTCAGAATACTCAATTTCACTGTCTCGCATTCTCTCTCACTATGTTCAGCACACTCAATCACTCAGCGCTATATAATACTTGCTGCGGCGTGCAGCCCGATCCCTGTTTATAGTCGACTGCGCTCACTGGGGGTGTGTACAGACTCATGAGGGGCTCCTACAACCCAAGCGCTATAAGTACGGACAACTCACGTGCTGCACGGACAACTCACGTGCCATAATATCAATCCCTGGATCCGCATGGTCAACTCACGTGCTATGCGGACAACTCACGTGCTATGGTATCAATACCTGGATCCGCATGGATAACTCACGTGCTACGTGGACAACTCACGCGCTATGGTATCAATACCTGGATTCGCACGGACAACTCACATGCTACGCGGACAACTCACGCGCTATGGTATCATACTTGGATCCGCACGGACAACTCACGTGCAATAGTATAATATATATAAAGCCAACATGGCCTGCTGCGGCGTGCAACCCGATCCCAAAAATATCCTCACAATCAGGCCCTCGGCCTCCCTCAGTCATCAATCTCTCTAGTCTCTCTCTCATGGGCTCACAATGTCATGAGAATAGTCCAAAAATAATGATATGATGTATCAATAAATAACAACAGAGACTGAGAGATGATATGCAATGAAATGAATATGATTGAATATAAATTTTTAATTTAAAATAAATATTTCACAACAATATAACCTCTGTGGGTCCCAATAATACTGGCACATAGTCTCAACATGATTTTTTTTAATATGCCTTTCAGCTCAATTTCTTTAACTCATAAAATCGCATGAAAAATGTCAAGATCATTTAACTACAAAATTTCACAGAAACAATTATGTCATAATTTCTATAGTGCCCGTCACCTAGCATGTGCGTCACCTCCCAATAATTTACAGAATACATATATTCAGGGTTTATACCCTCAACTACAAGATTAGAAGAGTTACTTACCTCGAACAAGCCGAATCCAATGTCGAGCAAGCTAAACAATGCTCCATAAATCCCATTATGCATGTATCAACTCCCGAACGGCTCGAATCTAGTCACAATTAATTTGATTCAGCCCACAAAATTTATAGGAATTAATTCCATATCAAAATACTAATATTTCCACAAAATCCGAAATTACGCCCCAAAAATCACCCGTGGGACCCACATCTCGAAATTCGACGAAACTCACAAAATACGACAACCTATCCAATTACAAGTTCAACCATACTGATTTCACTCAAATCCGACTCCAAATCGGTATTCAAACTTGAAAAATTGACATTATAGAAATTTCCTTCTATTTCTCTTGAAGATTCAATAATCTTACACCAAAAATGAAGATTAATTCATGGAATATAATCACAAGGGAGTTAAGAATACTTACCCCAAGTTTTGTGAAAAATTTCCTCTCCAAAATAGCCCAACCCGAGCTCCAAAATACGAAAATGGGTGAAAATGTTGAACCCTAGAATTTAAGGTTCTGGCCCAGCGATTTCCGTACCTGCGGACAAGATTTGCGCACCTGCGCATCCGCTTGTGCGAGCAAAACGTTGCATTTGCGAACTCCACTCGCCTGTCCAGTTTTCGCTTCTGCGCGCTTCCGTCCGCATCTGCGCTCACGCAGGTGCGGAATTTTCCCTCGCATCTGCGACCAATGCCTCACAGCCCTCTGCCCGCATCTGCGCTCCTTCTCGCGCATGTGCGATTCCGCACCTGCGAAGCTCCTTCCGCACCTGCGTGCCTCGCTTTAGCGCACTCCTGCTCGCATTTGCGAGCTCGCACTTGCGACCACTTTTCCGCAGGTACGATTACACCAGAAGGCTTCAGTTCCAGCAGTCTTCCAAATTCAAAAATCAATCCGTTAACCGTCCGAAACTTACCCGAGGCGCTCGGGTCCCCGTTCGAACTTACCAACAAGTTCCATAACATAATACGGACCTACTCGAGGCCTCAAATCATACCTAACAACCTCAAAAATCCGAACTACACACGGATTCAAGCCTAATAAATTTCCAAATTTCTGAATTCTACAAACAACGTCGAAACCTATCAAATCTCGTCCGATTGACCTCAAATTTTGCACACAAGTCACAAATGACACTACGAACCTACTCCAACTTCTAGAATTCCATTCCGATCGCGATATCAAATTTTTCACTGCCGACCGAAATCGCTAAATTTTCAATTTTGCCAATTCAAGCCTAATTCTACCACGGACCTCCAAATCACATTCCGGACGCACTCCTAAGTCCAAAATCACCTAACGGAGCTAACAGAACCATCAAAATTCAAATCCGAGATCGGTTACACATAAGTCCGCATCCTGTCACTATTTTAACTTAAGCTTTAAACCTTGGAACTAAGTGTTCCAATTCCTTCAAAAACCTCACTGGACCCGAATCAATTACTCCGCAATTCACACAACAATTGTAAAGTACAATTTGAGAAGTAAATTGGGAAACGGGGTTGTAATGCTCAAAACGACCGGCCGGGTCGTTACGGCATGATAGCAAGAAGCACAACATCCAGATCAAGGCATAGTACAACATAAAGACTACTCCGGTCATGCATCATACATAACACTCATATATACGCTTGTCACCTCGCATATACATCGCTTCTCAAATAT